TGATAGATAGGCAGTTCATTTGTGGAATGTTGATATGATTAGCTGGCAATATATTCCTTTACACATTTGTCCTTAAATCGAATTTGATGTTAATATACGGAATTCGATGTTTGCGGATATTCTTCAAAAAAAGCTCATATTTCACAATAGTTTTACATCTATATTTGTTCATTATTATATTTGCAAATTGTTCAAATCATTATCGTGTGGTCAAAAATGCCCCGGATGAGAGGATCATTGCTAAAACAAAACTTCTTCTTAAATACTTCATGCACTCCATTACATTACCAGGGACAAACAATAGCATTGCATTACAAGAGACAAAAATAGCATAACATTACAAGGGGCAAAAACAAAGGTGTGTAAAACTTATTCAAAATAAAGGAAGACGAGAAACAAATAAATAAAAATTGACACGATTTGAAAAGTAGCGGTAGATGGTAGATACGCTCGTATTGATAGAAGTAGAATACCGGGGGGGGGGGGGAGGGATGTAGTAGTAGAATACCGGGGGAGGGCGGGAAAGGGGATATAGTAGTAGAATACAAGGGGGGGGGAGATAATATATGCTTAGTGAAAAGCACCCATTGTAATTCTACATGTATTTTCAATCCAAATATGGCAGACTGTTTATAAAACTAATAAACTGACACATTTGTTGGAAAGGTGTATGTTCGCTAAATGACGCCAATATGACAGATGATTTACAATTTCTAAATCTCATTAGAATAGTTACGAACATATATTTGTTATCCTTAATATTTAATGAACCTAATTTAAAGCCCGTCATCATTGTATTGTACGAAGGGAGATGAAAATATATAGCTAATTATTTAATCAAATAATCGGCAATCTTCCGAAATGGACACTCCTTTACGCATCCTATGTAAACAATAATAGATCACTGTCTTACCTTATTATTTCTAAACACACTTAACAGGTGCGGAATACGATTCTGCTTGATGTTTAATAATAACATCTGCGATTGTTTTAACAATTGTATGTTTCAATGCTGAATTCTGATAAAGCAGCCGGTGCTAGGGGTCATGGGCAGTAGCCTTCAACTACCAGTACTGATTATTATCATGATCGATTAAATAGAATGAAATAGAATCCCTAAAGAAAGCCCAACACGGCAATATTGAAAATGTTGCAGGCTCGATTTGATTGATCCAATTCAAGGATAATACTAGATGGTGAAAGCTACTGTCCACGCCCCTAGCACCGGCTTAAGCAGTATTCAACATTACAACATGTATTAGTAAAATTTTGAATTTAGAATCATCCATAGATGTGCTCATACGGCGGTGATCATGGAACATTCAATGTGACACGTAAAGCGGCGTACAAAATGCAATCCGAGCCTGCAGAAATTTCAATTTGCCATTTTCCTCTGTTTTGTCTATAGTTTTGTGATACAGCTCGTCCTAGTTTCTTGTAAGAAGTAGATTGGTAGTAATTTATTATCCAACGTAAAAAGCAAAGTGATCTTAGTCTGTATTTATTCAAATACATCCGTCATATAAACTATATTTGTTGCTAAAGGTTTTAGGTGATATGATATTTCATAGAATAATCTGAAGGCTTCGTATTATTATTCTCCTATATGTCAAGATAATTTTCTACGGAGTGACATAAGTGCCATATATACTTTATTTTTATTCAGCACAAATGCCGGTAAAATACTAAAAAATATACATCGGCAATTTTATAACCATATCGATATTTCCATGAATTACATGTCCATAATTTTTGACTTAAAATAGAAAAAATGATGAATTAATTACTAACTAAAGATACTTGACATTTACATTCTGATATTTTCGTAGCGGCACATAAAAAATTACAATAAAAGTACGAGCATAATGAAAGAAATATAGCATTGAACATTCCTTCGGACCTTTCAGTAAGGATAAGGAATTGACTAAAAAAACGGTATAAAAATAGAGAAAAAACAGAATCTCTAAAGAAAGCCTAACACGGCAAAATTGAAAATGTTGCAGGCTCGGTTTCATTGAGCCTGTTCATGGACAGTACTGGAAAGTTCAAGCTACTGTCAACGCCCTCTAGCAACCGCTTATGCAGAATTCAACATTTAAGCACAAAAATGGTGAAATGTTGACTTTAGAAACAGTTGTTGATATGTTCATACGGCGGTTATCGTGAATATGTCGACAGGATATGGTTTTTCGTTTTAACCAAATATTTGTAAACTACTCATATGTGATAACTAAGAATTATAATGTTGCTATGGTTTTACATGTATTATATCATGCTTATATCGGCTTACATTATGTAGTTTAAATGATATAAATGTAAAATTACGTACATACGTAATTAGTTTATTAGTCATCAAACTGAAAATATAAAATACATGCAATTTTGAAATTGATTCAGATTGTCATAACTTAATGACATCGTCAAATCAGAAAATCTACCTTCAAGCATGTTACCGGAAATATTCGAAAATATTTGGAAATATTCGAAAAAAAGAAGGATTTACCCTCGGGAGCAATGTAACAAAATTAAAGACATGAAGATTGCAGGCTCGTTTCATGGAAGATATTGGAAATTGCTACATCTTCCAACCCCGGCTAGCACCGGTTTATGCAGTATTCGACCTTTAGGACTCATTGCTCCTTAATGATCAGACAAATATATGACAAGTACAGGGCAGTTGTTTACGGCAAACAACTGTTGCAACATTGTAATACATCTCATAATCACACACTATTTAATGCCTTCTCAGACTGAATTGAAACCATAATCATAAATCTAGAAAATAAGAATAAACGGTCATACAAGAATGCTTTAATGACTTGGTGACATTTAATATAATCGGAGATAACGTTCATGTTAGTATGAAGATAAAACTTTCGAATTATGTTTTTAAACACTTAAAAAAAACAAAACAAAACAAACAACAACAAAACCCCCCAAAAAATGAACAAAAAACCCGATACCCCCACCCCCCCCCCCCAAAAAAAACAACAAAATAAACCCAAAAACAAACCAACAACAATAACAACATCATTTAAAAAAATTAACACAACAACAGACCCATCGACCAAATAAACAACAACCACAATATCAAAATCATTATAAATTATGTTGTCTGTACAAATATAATGCTAACATTTATTAAATACACAAACTTTCAGCTAAATAAATAAACTGTCAAGATATGTCCTGGCATGAAAAATTATCAAATTAGCAGACGGAGCTACAAACGCTCTGATGTGGTGTCATATATCACTGTTTGTGGAGTCTTCAGGAATGTGTCCCGCCATGAGAACGAGATGACAAGAACTCGACACTAATAGTTTGAATGTTAGATGACGTTGACTCATGTAAACCAATAACATCTAGATACGCATTTGATTAGTTGTATTTTTGAATGTTGTTACTAGAGTGGTGAGAAAAATCAAGACCATGAAACATCAAAGAAACAAAAATATGTTCATAATTTACAGTAAAGCCTTTTTAGACCAAGGGTTTCTGCTTAAAAGATTTGATATTGTGGTATAAGTGATTTATGATTGCGAAATAAATTACAGTCGGCGCTGACTTATTTTTATATTCCACAACTGTTGTTTCTAATTTACATTTGCCCTTACCTCACTATATATCTCACTTGACAAAACAATAACCCAATTTTAAGGAAAAATTCAAAGTAAGCCATTACTGGAAAGCGAACAACTGATGCTAATTTTATTCTTCTTAATTCTTCGTAAAAATTATGAAAACTAAAAGCATATGCCTTTGAAGGAAAAAGTCCTAAAGAAAATAAAATATGTTACATCTCTTGATCGTCAATGGTGTATTGATTTATTAAACAGGTTAATATCAGGAAACTACTTAACTGAGGTGGCAAAAAATATTACTCTTACATGTCGTTCTTGTAAATTATTGCAAAGCAGGAAGAAGTTGACAATAAAATTAAACTGTATGCCCCCGTAGAGCTGGAATAATAACAATAGGTTGAAATTACAGCACATGTTAACAGAGACAATTGAAAAATAAACATGTTCTTTATAGAGTAAATATCAATTTGATGTTATAAAACAGACAGATTTAATTACAAACTTGGAAAATTCATTAGTTAAAAAAACAAATTATGCTTGGAAGAAGCAGTTAGGCGACTCGTGATGAATTGCGATAAATCTCTGCAGATAATATCTTAGCTTGTCCATCAATCTAAGTGAGTGTTTAAGTGTGTAGCGATCATTTATTATCAGGAGGTAGGTTGACATTAATTTCTGACTTCAGAGAATGATTGCCTGCGATATCGAAGGGTTCTGGATTGTCCTCAGTGATAATTAAGAACAAAATGTAACCGAATGTTGTCTTGGCCAACCGCTGCCACGAAAAAAGAAGATTTAAGCGTATATTTATGATGCTTTGTCATGTTTCACGTAGAATGATGATGCTTGTTCATATTTATATGATACGATGTTATTAAGCGTATACTTCTTGTGCGTTTTCGTATGTATTTACGATGCATTTTTTTTTCACCTACATTTATGATGCTTTTTACGTACAATTATGATGCTTTTTTTACAAACAATTATGATGCCTTTTCACGTATATTTATGATGCTTTTTACAAATATTTATTATGCTGCTTTTTCATTCATTTTCACTTATATAAATGATACGTTTTAAAAGCATATAAATGATGCTTTTCACTTACGTTTATTATGTGTTTTGACATGCATTTATGATATAAATGATGCTTTTTTTTAGAATATCCTTTTTAACGTTTATTTATGATACATTTTTACGAGTATTTATCATGCATAATTATGATACGTTTTTCGTTTATAAATGATGCTTTTCACGTAAATTTATGATACTTTTTAAGGTATATTTATGACACGTTTTAACGTTTTTTTTTATTTTTCCGTTTCAGGTATGTTTTTGATACGTTTTTACCTAGATGTGTGATGATTTTTTTATTAACATTATCGGACATGTATGGTTTTTATTTTTTTATTTAAGGTCGAGTGTAAAATCCTGTCATACCTGAAATTGTATTTCACGAGTACAAATTATGTGTTGATGTTTTGTGAGGGGCTGTACCTACACCGGCTAATCGTGAACGCATTTTCTCCACCTAAAACATTACTACCATTTTACATCTTAGGATGGGGTAAGTTTTTGAAATGTACTTATTTACTATATGATAAACTATATTCACATATACTTTAGCATTATATTCAACAAACTAATGCTGAGCAATGTTTTTTCTTAGAAAATAACAAAACATAAAATCCCAAAATATATTACATTAACACATATCTGTATGACTGCTCTCTTTTTTGTGTAGTTTTAACTTCTATTTTCAGTACAGTATTTTAGACACTTTATTTATGATTTGTTTGTGTCTAAGAACCATTGACTCAACCTTTGGATCATTACTCGTATGTAGATAATTTGTATTGAGAAAATTGTTTGAAAATTAAGAGCTTGATTGTACAAATCATGATATTCCAAATTCTTTCTTCCAGCCAGTCCTTTCTTTTATACAACAGCTTACATGGTTGTGCGAATAACTCGGGCGGATGAAAGGTATCATAGTCTTTATATCGCATTATTTTTTTGTTCGTTCGTCCGTCATAGATCATTCCATCCATTATCTTTGTAAAGAAAGAAGACAACCACGTAAACCATTCTGTTGGTTTATATGGTAATTTATACGGATAAATATGGAAAATATCACATATAAACAAAAAGGGTCCTTCCGCAATTCATTCATTCATTAATTCATTAATTAATTCATTAATTAATTAATTAATTCATTCATTCATTCACACATTCATTCATTCATTCATTCAGTCAGTCAGTCATTCATTCATTCATTCATTCATTCATTCATTCATTCAGTCAGTCAGTCAGTCAGTCATTAATTGTTGTTGTCCATGGCCGAGCTGTTAGGGTCGTTGACTTCAAACCACTTGCCTTTCACCAGTGTAGGTTCGAAGCGCATCAGCGTCTGCAATTCTTTCATTTTAGAAAGCTTTCAGCTAGCTTACGGAACGTCGGTGGTTCTACTCACATGCTTATTAAATCTTAAAGACACATAATACCTAAGTAATGAATACATATTTTCTTCTTTAGGAAGGGGAACTAACGTTTTGTGAATAAAACATGAATAAATTTATTGAAACTTAATGAGTCTTTAAGTTAGAAGAGTATGACTTCCGGTATTATATTACTATTTACATTTAAGTAGACTTTCTGCAGACTCTTTTTTGTTATTGTTATTTCATAAATGTTTATAACTATTTACACTGTATTTGTCTGATGTTTTCCGGAATTTATTAATAGCCAATGGCATGTGTACGTGCTTATGTATACACCAAAGGTTTTACGTTATTGTCTATGAGGATCGGGTCGTTTATCTTAAGAATAATTGATCATTCATTATAGAAATGCATTAACTTTGTTTAAGATTAAATCCTTGACAAAAGTTGCATAGATATAAACAATGCATATCTGCAATCATTTCTTAATGTGAAATAGAAAGTTAAACATAATATGACATACCATTTTTAAAGGCCCATTATACCCCAGAAATGATTTTACATTGTATTATTATTTCTCAAAAGTTTTTTTTTAAATTTTTGATGTACTTTTATAGTTTCCAAACCGCTTCCGTGGTCGAGGGGTTAGAGTCTATGACTTCTAATCTAGTTATCTCTCTGGCGTGGGTTCGATCCCCGGGAGATACTTTGGTAGTTTAGCACGAAGGAAAGTAGTCTAGTACTGGTGTAACTCTCCAGGAACGATGGTTAGGAAACTACCCGCCTATATGACTGATGACTGAAATACTGTTGGTACTGTTGGGAAAAGGCGTAAAATGAAACAAACAAACAAACAAACAAACAAACAAAATTATAGTTTCCAAAATGTTACTCTTTGACCAATTACATAAACTGTCTTTTTGGGTTTCTTTTTGGGAATAAGTACAGTTACAGTGATTAAGTATTTTGTATGGAAGTCAAAATACTACATTAATTACATTTTGATACTTTTATGACAAATTATTTAACATTTAGCGCTACTTTTTTCAGGTAACAATCACCTTGCATGTACTCAACTATTATTTCTACATAATAAAAATGTTTTTGCCCTTTCTTTTACAGTTGCTGGGCTAAAAGTATTGGTGACTTACAGTGGATTTTATACTCACCTAACTTATTCTGTCTAATTGTATGTATTTTATCATTTTTTATGCTTTTCTCCCCCTTTTTATGTACTTTATCATATCGATGCTCTTTCCCTTTTTTACAAGCGTTATCCATAGAAGTACCCCGGTGACCAACGGTTAAGGTCGCATTATTTATATCATTTGTGTATTGTATCTTTTCAATTTGAACCCGTCTGGAACAATGAATTATAAAAAAAGTTTTGTTATAATGAATTGTTTTGTAAGTTAATATTGATTTATAACCATAATTAAAAGATGAGCAAAACTGTTGTTTTTTATTAATGATAAGCAAAACTTTGTTTTCTTATTACTGGTGAGCAAAACTTTTTTTATTTATGATGCTATATCTAGTATGTAAGTTTAACGACATCTGTTAATTTAATAATAAATATATGTATTTTTCTACTAATCCGTTGTCAGTAATACATAATAGTAGATTCAAACTTACTTGAATTAAACGTAACAGCCTAAGCAAAGTGTTTTAAGTGTATAAAGTTATATTACTACAGCCTTGAGTCAACAACATAGTAAAAAGAAATAATTCCAAAATACTTGTGTGAGAGAATATATTTGTAAATTTTCTTCGGAGCGTACGGAATATGCACGAAATCATTGCTAAACGATTAAAATGTCAATTTATTAACTAATAACGATTAAAAAAATAACTATCTATTTCACAAAGTTGATCAACCCCCAACGTTTCGAAGGGCTAGACTTAATCGAGGATACTGTTAGAAAAAAAGAGGATAAATAATAAATATGCGACTTATAACCTATCTCCAGCAAACTCCTTGATAAGGAGGGGTTTAAGCCCTCAATACGTTGGAGGTTGATAAACTTTGTGAAATAAAACACAATAAAAATAACAGCGTGTTTTTTGTACATGAACATTTTATTCCGTTTACATACAATATCCATATGTGTTAAATAGCAGAAAAATTCTATCCAGAGTCGACCATAAAATTATTGAAATTTCAAAGTTTTACCGTTTACAAACATTTTAGAAAATCATTTCTTTACATATAATTTTATACCCTTTAAGTACTTTGATCCCCATTTTGTTACTGACGATGTAGAACTAACTTTTCAACATTCATTTTACAGGCAAATATATATTTCCTGTGCAGTATACTTCGAATACTTCTTACACAGCTTCAAGTACACCCTGATGAGCCAAGTCATTTTAGGTAGATGCTTTATTGTCGGTAATAATTGAAATATAGTAAAAAAAATTAAAATGTATAAGCTTTCCTGTAATCAGTATAATAATTGGTTATTTTAGTTTTTTCCATATAAATCACCCTGGTTTGAACGAAAATATAACCAGTGTTGATTTGAGAGCCAGACACCTTAACCACTATATACCGTCCAACCCATTATTATGCTTTTTAATAACTTAATATTGCTTAAAATTAAAGTATATGATATTTGTTTTCAGGAAAGCTTTAAAAGCCACGTTTGTGTTGATTCCACTTTTCGGAGTACAACTTTTTGTCACAGTTTATAGACTCCCGCCGAATTCTACGGGATTTTATCATTACGAACGGTTTTCGGAGTTCGTAACTAATTCACAGGTAAATACTTGTTTATCTTAAGTCGGCATTCATTTAGGTTTTGATTAACATAATTAACATTTTGGCCTAGCTATAATGACTAATGAAGGCAAAAAGTTTTCGTTAGGATCTAAAATATTTGATTACAAAGATGAATGAAGGTGCTTTATTCTCAAGTTAGAACGTAGTTGATATTATTTACACCATAACAATTCTGTTAAATCGTTAACCACACTCACTTGAATATTTCAGGGAATGTTCGTAGCAGTTATATTTTGTCTTTGTAACGGAGAAGTAAGTCTCAATTATTTCTATTTCTGTTCCACCTTTCCTATTTATGTTTCCCCACGCAATCAATCATGACTTATCCGGATCATTCTTCAGTTCAACGTACGATTGACTAATTATTGCAATTAGAAAAGGCCATAGGCTTTAAAGTGTTATTACGACAGCAACGATTCATCCGAGTATTTTAGTAGGAGGAAAGATCACTAAGGAAGTGGACAGTGCACTCGCTATGTATCAATTATATTATGCATTATGTTGCAAAACAATTATTGAATAGAACAATTTGTGCAGAATGTTTTCATATATCTGAACATGCTTAATCAGTTTTACAAAGGATAAAATGACATGGTTGTTAAAGTGTCTGCAGCTTAACCCGTGCATTAGAGTCACGTGCATAAACCAGTACTAGTTAGTTTCAGGACACAGACTTGATAGTTTTAAGCCTATTTTAAAAATAAGTAAAACCTAAATCATTCATCGTCGGAAGCCTCTAAAATACACTTCCGCCTATAACCGTAGCATTGTCTGTTCGACCGGGCTAGTTTTGACGCCTGTAAAGTTCTCAACAAAATGGTTTCTGTTAATATGCATTACACAAAACCCCTAAACTTGATATATCTTTAAAAAGGTGCCCTTTTTTTATCCGCTCAAAACATTTAATGAAATCGGGGAACGAGAATTCAAAATTACCTGATAGTATCCTCGCGTCAATGGACAGCAAATCTATTGCAATGCAAGGATCCTTATTTGCGCAATGTAAATATTCCAACCATTTCTGTCATCACTGTAGTAATCTGTTATCACTGGCGCCGGTAATACAGTGTGAATATAATAATTGGTTTTACGGCGCACCAACACAATTTAGATCATATGGCGCTAAAACAGGAAAGATGACTTTGGCAAGCCTAGGATGTTACAAACTTAAAGCAACACCATGGGTCAAAATCACCTCCCCTACCGGAGCTAAGAGATGCATAAACTCCCGTTATTCGAACCCATTCAATCTCTTCTTACGATCACGCAGGGATAAACGGAGGCTGCAATTCTGATCGCTCATCCCTTTGAGGCAACGCCTGAGACATAATTATGTTTAAACCAATTCTATTCCTCCGTGTTCCTTTGCCTGTCCTATTATTTAATGAATGAAACACTCGCAAACTTGACCAATGTTTTCGTCATGTGTGTTTGTTTGCTTATATATTCGTCAAAATGACATATTTTTTTTACCATTCAGGTAACATCTCTGGTGAAGCACTCCCATCGACGGCGTCGGGAAACACGGGATATAGGTTTAAAGAAACATAACTCAGCCATTAGTCTCAATATGAACACCATTGCTTCAAAATACAACACACTAGACAGAGCTTCTCCGAATATGAATCTTCTTGTACAAAATGGAGAGGACGCATCTACTATTTAGAAATGTGGTCTTATTATTGAACAATCATTACTTTTACTAAATTATATCATTACTTTGACTTTTCATTGTTTACTCAATATCTTCAGACGTTGTATCCAAAAATTATCATTCTTATTTTGCTGATTGATGTTGTTGTTAAAAAATGGTATTTAAAATACATATGAGCCGCGTCACGACAAAACCAACATAGTGGGTTTGCGACCAGCATGGATCCAGACCAGCCTGCGCCTCCGCGCAGTCTGATCAGAATCCATGCTGTTCGCTATCAGTTTCTCTACTTGTAATAGGGTTTGTAAGCGAACAGCATGGATCCTGATCAGACTGCCCGGATGCGCAGGCTGGTCTGGATCCATGCTGGCCGCAAACGCATTACGTTGGTTTTGTCGTGACGCGGCTCATATGTATAAAATGTGGAATGTTTAAATGTCAAATGTCAAATAATTTTTTTACATAATTATATGATAAATAAAATAAGAACTGTACCTCAAAGAAAGAAGGGTTTAATGAAATTAATATATTCATGAATTTTCACTTTGATTTCACTTGGTTGGTTTCCATAATAATTTAATGTATTCGTTAGTTTTCACTTTGGTTTTACTTTGTTAGTTTCCATAATAATTTAATATATTCGTTAATTTTCACTTTGATTTTACTTTGTTAGTTTCCATAATAATTTAATGTATTCGTTAGTTTTCACTTTGATTTTACTTGGTTGGTTTCCATAAATATTAAATATATTTGTTAATTTCCACTTTAATTTTACTTGGTTGGTTTCCATAATAAATTAATATATTCGTTGATTTTCACTTAGTTTTTACTTGTTTGGTTTCCGTAATACGGCATGCACGAGGAAACAAGTACACATTTTTTTAAATAACATATCTTTCATAATTCAATATGACACTTATTAGATCAGCCCGTATATTAATGTGTTCAATCTTCACAGATGTTCTTAATCTGCATTTAAGTTTAAGCCATAATTAACAGGGTAATAAAGAATGTATAAGGTTTCCAATTCCGTCATCAATGCAATAACTTAATTAGAATATGATTTTTTTGCCAATTTTCTAAAAAAATGTAATGTAATTAGAATGTCATTAAATAATTTAGTCAGTGCGTGCAACAGTTTAAATTCTGATTTGAATTGCGGAAATACAGAACTTGTAAAACTGCAAGTTTGGAACGTCGCTTTTAATTGGATAATCACTGCGTTTAATTCTCGCTTAATAACATTGCAAGTTTGTAACGTCGCTTTTCATTGGATACTCGCCACGTTTATATCATTAGTTATAAAGATCGTTGGCAGGTTATATGGCCCTATATAAATGGCTATTTGTAAATATAACCCGAACCGTTAGCCGTTTATTTACGGCCATATAACCTGTCAACAATCTTTATAACGAATTTATAATACAGCAAGCATCATTTTTATAAAAAAAGTAAGATTTCTTCATGAATCGACAGCAGCCGTGTATATAAAACTATATAAACGTTACGATTATCCAATGAAAAATGACGTTACAAACGTGCAGTATTATAAAAACTATTACACGGATGCTGTCAATTTATGAGGTCATATGCGTTTTTGGAAGATTACGATAATAAAAGTTTATTATAAAAGATTCTTAGCAGGTTATATGGGCGTATATAAACGATATTTGCAATATAATCAGAGCCACAAACAACAGTTTATTTAGGGCCATATAACCTGACAAAAATCACCTGCTGCATATTTATTGAATTATTTTCATCTTATTCAATTCGAGCAGTACTTCGATGTTATAGGTTCACTGTATATTTTCTTGGTAAATAAATATGCCGAACTTATTTTTACAACAAATACTATGCATCATTTATGAGAGGAAAATAAAATATGTGTATTTGGTTAAACGGAATCTACAGAGGTCCAAAGCCTTAAATCATAAAGTTTGAATTTCTAACATAGATGGACTTGAGCATTTAAAACAGAAAGATAAGCAAAAGATAATTATGGAATTTACTGAGTTATAAATTGAAATGTGTATTTTTGTGCTCTTCTTATCCCGATTTAGGTGAAAAACATTACAACGCTTTTCAAAATTAGAATAATTAGTCTGGTAAAACGGAGTAGGCAAATGATCTGAAAATTTGCAAACAACTTATTTCTCTAGACCTACATGAAATGGAACATTAATCTCTAAAATGTATGTCGTCATGTCATAAAACCTCAGTGGTGACCCTTTAATGAATATAACACATTGCGAACTGTGCAAAATTTTGCTTCAATATGCATATCATTATAGGCATTTGCTATTCAATATATACATTAAACAGCAGATTCAATTTTACGTCTGCATGTTGAAGAAACAATATTTTTTCTGATTCTAGTGTGTACAAAGCTATATCTTTGCTGAATGCAGTTTACAAAATCTTTGCTTGATTTTTGAAAATAAAAAGATAAAATCTAAACTACATGATTGAAAGAAATATGTAACGGTAAAAATCCTACGAAAAAAAGGGCAGCAGGAACATTTTTTTGTCTACTTACAGTATTCGTGTGTGTCAAATCATAATGCAGGCGTCACACTGTCCCGAATTTGGCATCAGATGGACACACGAATAAGGAAATGTTCAAATTCGGATCTGATCGTAATAACATCGTGCCATTCGTGAGGGCATCTTTTGCCATCGTATAATCCCCGGCTGAATATTACAAGCTCCGGCAGCAACTTCGTGAGCGGTTCCAAAATCTTTGGCATGCCAAAGAATTGCCCGAAGACATTGCGAAGGTTCATTTTCGTGTTGAATTCGTATGTCAATGTTGCCCTTCGTAAGGCCGCCGTGAAGCCATCTTGTCAAATCGTGTAGTCTTCGTCTTTTCTTCGTGTGGTCATCGGTGCAATCTGACATTTTTAGCCTCAAGAAGACAATACGAAGTAAACACGAAGATTCCCGATAGTCTTAAAAAGGGAACACGACTACGTGAAGCCCCCGCAATACCGTCGTGTCGCCATCGTATTTTGGTACGATGCCATCGAGATGGGACCACGAAGAGGCCGAAGAAAGCAATTTTTAGTGGCTCAAGCGTTTTTTTGCATGTTATCATTGTGGACATATAAACGGCTAGACCATCTTCCTCATCTGTCACTCTTGCACATCTCTACAGAGACATCAAAAGCTTCCATTATTTACAATTAATTTACAATTATTTTCAGTTTATTTCATGCAGAAATTACATGCTTTGATGATGCGTCAAACGAGAAAAAAAGGCAGCAGCACTGCTACTTTTAAGACACCTTGGAAAACATAATGAAGCACACGGGCACACTTTGAGTGGTATGATAAAGTTTTATCAAATATGATAAACAAGATCAAGAAGGAAAGGCAACGTTCAATGAACGCAACTCCCACACAACCAAGCAACAAGAGCCAAGTAACTCCAAAAGGACCCCCCCCCCCAGAAAAACGGACAGGGCGCAAGGTAGAGCACGGATAGGCTTATCACTTAAATGATACATAAGACGAAATAATGGTAAACGACAAGGAAATCAAAGAAAACAAATAATGGTTGATTTATAAAATAAATAAAACTAGGGGCAAAAGGGAAAATACTTACCGTAGACGAGAAAACAACAAGGGATGCCGACAAAAGTGTCACCAAAACAGTATGATATAACAAAGACGTGCATCTGAGGAACAAATAGGGGCGCCGCCTTGGATCGGTCAGCAGCATAAGCACTGCTGGGGAGTCTAAACCGGTTAATGGTGCACCAAAAATCACTCTTAGCCCACCATGCTCCTATAAACGAGACGGTGTAAATAAAATGAATCCCCGCCAAGTAAATTTATAACAGTTGTTATGGTTTCAAAAGGTAAAATAAGTAAAACACCGAGATGATTATGTAGATAGAAATAAAGGAATCCCCATATGACCATAACGAAAGTACTCAATAATTTAAAGGAAGACAGAGTAACAAAAAAATCACATACAAGGGCCCGACGAATCAAGGCAGAAGACGAACATTAAGGCAATTCAGTCCCACAGGGCATTAAGAACTGTCCATCATAGAGTATCCCACTTGGTCCGTCAGATGTAATCAAAAGAGGAAAGAACCAACTGTTAAAGTGTTGAACACTATGCATGCGGTATATCTAAAAAAGTAGAGTCAAAAGTAGAGAAGTTTGTAAATAACATCTCCGTTAAAATCATTTTTGAATCACTACTGAATTTTGAGATTAAATCAAAGTTACGATTGTTAAATTTTGTAAAATATCTACGTAATTTATAATAGAGGTAGCCCTGTTTGAGAAGCTTGCTAGTAATGAAGATATTTCCTTCACATTGCTAAAAGCTCTAGCGAATCTAATTTACTGAGATACATATACCCCGTCAGATGTTGCATGCGGTACGTCTCCATCTAAATGTGGATAGTTTACTATACCATAATCAAAGTCGTCACTTTTATCATAGAGTTTTGTGTGAATAGAATTGTTTTTGATAGTAATATGAAGAGCCAAAATAAAGTTTAAACGTAGTTTAATTAGCTCCCAATACTATCCGCAACTGAAATTTGCCGAAGGTCACTTGACGCCTTCGTAACCACGTAAGAAGGCATCGTACTCAAAATACCACGTCGGATACCTATCTTGTGACCTTCGCGTGTCCTGCTGGTAAACTACTTCGTACAAAATTGCATATTTGAAGTGACTTCGTGTGTGTATCGGATGCGATCGCGTGACCTTCGATAGGAATCGTGTGTGGCTCGGATGCGATCGCGTGACCTTCTGTAGGAATCGTACTTGTTTCGGCTGTTGAGAGACTGTCAACCAATTTCGGGGCTATCTTCGCACGAAATTAAAAATTTCATATTCGTATGTCCATCTGGTGTCAATTTCGGGACAGTGTGACGCCTGCATAAACATTCTATGTTATAACTATTTGATAAACCAACTTTGGTTGTAGGAAACAATATAATTTTACCTCTTTTTAAAATTTATAACAAAACAACATTAAAAATAGTTATATGTCCTTTAAGGTTAAAATGACGTTATTTTCATTGCAAAATGCAAGAAAGTTAATGTCCTGAATTATAAAAGGCCTTAAAACGCGGAAGGTAACTTCAGCAACTGGGAAAAGAACTAATACAAACTCAACGAAGCGCAGATATCCGATAGCGTATTTCCTGAAAATCAGAAGTAATATAATTAGAAAAAGTTTTGTTTATAAAACTGAAATTAACAGTTTTGAAAGGAAGAAAACATGTTTAGGCTCTTCAGGTTTTACATAACATTGTCACGGCCATTCTAGGAAAGCGCATATTTTTGTCATCTCTG